ATCCCTTCGACGGGAAGCGACGGCGGTGACGAAATACACCAAATGCACATGAACAACTTGCAGATGGCGGCCAATCTAGAACTACCCGTAGTCTCGTTCTCAGCCGATGGCGCCTCATCTGAGCTCGCTGCACAGAGCGCGATGGATAAGGAGAAATCTGAACTCCCACCCATTTCGTACGAGTACCCGCTGTATGGAGTCTACCTTAAAGCTCCTGTCTTTCGGCACACTGGGCCAGTTGTATCCATCACTGACCCTCCTCATGCACGCAAAACTGGACGCAACCAACCTCAGCATGGGACACACACTGCGAGTCTAGGCACAGGATATCTCGTAAATCGCTCTCTCGTGGGCATGTACGAGTGTGGCGGGACTGGTTTAGTCCACCGCGACGTCGAAAATGTTGACAAGCAAGATGATGGAGCTGCTCGACGTGTTTTCCACGCGAACGCGCTCCGAGCTATCACAGACGAGACGTTGCCGATGAAGCGAGAAATCAAGGAGGGATTCAATGGGTTGTTTGTATACTTATTCGTCTTGGGTACGTTTCGTGCTGCATCAGTTTGTTCGTCATCGTTGATGCTTAATTATCACTATAATAGGGAATCTATATGATGCATGGCTCAGCCGCACTATGTGTGTTAGGGATCGCATCCTATCCGCCCTCAGAGCTCGATTCTTTCTTGATATGTGGCATAAACACATCGTGAAACTATCCTCCACCTTTCCAGACTTGTACTCCGCGACACGGTCATTCATCTCTCCAGCCAGCTTCCATATTTTTAATCGTCTATGCGACTCCTTGGTACTCCTAGCCATCATATACTCTCGCACCTATCCTGATCAGCCGTTTTGTCCCTGGTTAATGGGAACGGACTTTGTCGAGCATCTGTTTGGGTTAGCACGCATGATCCTGCCCAATTTCACATACGGGGAATTTCTGAAGATGATAAAGCACATAGAGCTTCGGCAGCGGCTTCTTTTATCTGGGAAATTTAAAGAGAACCGAGAGCGCCATTCAGCATCCGGATACATCATGGATTATGATGCGACACCCCTCACCTCGGACGACAAAAAACTCGCAACACTGTCTATTCCCGACGCCGACCTCAATGAGCTTGTGTCGCTTGCCTTTCAGGAAGCCTTTCACATCTGCAGGGACCTTCTTCATATTCCTGTTCTGCTTCCCACCGAGACTACCCCACTGCAGTTAACTCCTCTTGGCGCGCACCGCAAAAAGGTCAAGCCAGCTCGTAAGAAGGCAGTGGACGGCGACGGATCAGGATCAGGGTCTGAACACGATCCAGACAGCGACTCAGATACTGACTCCGAGGTTGGCGATACACGGGAAGATTTGTCCCTCGATGCTGCTACTGCTACAGCGGCACATGATACAGCGCGATATTCCGCCCTCTGTGAGGATACCGATTCGCTCCTCGAGAGAGAAGCTATCAGAAATCCTTCGAATCCGGTGGTCGTTGGGGCTATTGGACTGTCTATCACAACTGACAAGTCTGCTTCTCTCGTGCTCGCGAAGAGCGAGTTAGTTGATGGTACAGGGAAGTTATCTATCTCGAAAATGCTAAAATACCGGGAGCGCCTTCAATCGGGAACAACAGTCCATTCTGAGCGTTCCATCTCACTCAACCCCAAGTTTGTGGCTGCGGAGAAAGAGCGTGAAGATGCGGCCGAGGCAGGGCAAAGTGTACCAAAGATTCCTATGAAGGAAGCATCCCACCGCCTCCGTATCGCTCAGCAGCTTGATGGGTCGTTACAGCGTAAGCAGCCACGGAAGGATCGTGAATTGCGTTGGAAAAATATCGCTCAGGCTATCCGAACCGTCGTCAAGTCTAAAGGTGGCTTAAATCTTCGTCAATAAATGTTTAGGACTTACAATCGCTCTCTAGAACTCCCCAACCTGTCTGGAAAGAATGTTACCGAGATATTTCAGATGAAAATTGGAAACTACGCGATATTCCGCACACTGAAACGTACATACGTTGGTGAGATTCTCGACATGTACAAAAAGGGTGCAAGCGGACGTTATGGATCTATTGACAAGATTGGAAATGCATCCTCGCTCCAAGCCATCTCAGTACGCGTCTATCTACCTCTCAAAATATCAGCAGTATGCCCATATTTCCTTATCATCATCACCGAACATGTTCATTGTTATTTTCAGGATGGAGATGCAAATCAGGATGACGAACCTCTAATCTTCTCATCTACACACAACTCACACCACCTTCATACCTACGCACCCATCGACACTTTACTGTATCACTTGGGTCCAAGGGTCATGTCAACCCTGGGTACTCGTGGCCAACTCAAAACTCGCATGGTGTTGGATTCAGACTCGGAGGCACACTGGATGTCATTGACTCAGCCAAAGGTAGTTGAGAAACTTACAATACGCATACGTGGTAGTAAGTTATTTAAGAAGTAGTTTAGACTGCCCATATATCTTACTTCTGGTTCTGTCGATGGGCAGAGGCCCTGAACGCGTTATTTAAATTTTGTCGCGCAAATGTGTCACGTGTCAAATCACATGGGCATGCACGTGCGTATCACATGAGAGACCCTTGTCCGAGATACCGTATTTGAAGCCAAAAACATACCGTATTTTAGACCCATTTTTGGGTGATTTTCCGAGCAAACCTATAGGGGAGCTTCCCGGGGCCTGTCCAAAAAGAGGAGGTTGTTATTTGGCGGCGGCGCGGCGCGCTTATCACATGATTTATCCATTTTGCCTGCGACCGTGACAACAGCGACTCGGCCTCCCCAAGTTTCGACCACTTGGGAGCAAGTCGCGACCTGGTTCAGCCAAGGAGTCTCTATACATGAACATAAACGAAGTGGATCAATCAAAACTCTGTTCGTCCACATAGACAAAGATGTAACTTCGTTTACATTTTTTCGATGTACCTCCGAAATCGGACCGCTACCGCTACTGGGACCTCTTAAGCGTTACGCACTGATACCATAGGCTCTCTGTATGCTCTTCACGTCTTCAGTAGAAAGAGACAATGTTCAGCCAGGTACGGGCCGCAGTCTTGTACAACGGTAAAGCTAGATCTACATCTCGTATTCTAATTTCTAAACTGACTTACTGCACAGTGGTTGGAAAATGGCTCACTATCTCATCTGTTATATTCCTTCCTGTCCTGCTAAATGACAACGTCGCCCGCTTCATCCCTTCAGGGGATGAAGTCCTTTCCATAACAGGTAGGCGAAACTTGATGCTGGGTCCACTCTCCCTAAACCCAGGCTCGTTACAGGTCCTCGTGCCTTCGCTCACCATAGGCTCGCTCCGCCTATTCTTTTCCTATACGCTTTCCTCGCCTCGCCTCTGTCTTTTCCCTTCCAGTCCGACCCACCCCTCAGCAGCCCTCAAATCATCCTTGCTGCTCTCTACCTCGCTCATTTTGCCCATCGAGTCTCACAGTCTTTGCGAACACTGTCTAATTCCAAGTCGCATACGCTATTGGGCGTCGTCGCTGCCCTTTCTCATGCCATCAACGGATGGGTAATTGGCGCGTTCCTTACGTCGCCTTTTGCTCGTATATGTCTTACAGCAGGGTAGACTTTCATGCGACCCTCTTTCTACGCAGGCTTGGCTCTCTGGGCCCTCGGTCTCGCAGGCGTTGTCTTTCATTCCAATATCCTCCTCCAGCTGGAGCGGAGCGTGGCGAAGGGGAATGCAAAAAAGGACGATGACGATGAGCTTAATCGACGTAATTTGGAGAACCCTACCTTTTCAAAGGTCGGGCCATACAAATACATATCCTACCCGCAGTATCTCTGCGAGTGGATCGAATGGCTGGCGCGTTTGCCCTGGCTGCCGCACCACCCCCACTACTCTCCACCGCTTCTGTCCTCTCCCTTTTCTCCCTCCGAACTATCGCAACCCTCATTTCAAACACTGCGTACCTCTTCGAGCAAAATCTAGCCCCTCCCTACATCCTTTTATTCGCCGAGGTTCTATCGATGTTCCCCCACGCGTATCGAAGCCACCAGCGGTGTAAGGGCAGGCTTGGAGAACAATATCCCAAGGATAGAACAGCCATCGTGCCCTTCTTATTCTGATGGTGGCGTCATTGGCGCAAGGGATTTGCATCGCATCTTGGACATGTCACCTGTGGGTAAAGAAGTTCAGACGGACTTGAACCTCCGCATGCGTGGAAGGGATACACACGGACGCGGTGATCTGCTCTCAGCAGATTTTGAAGCCCGGTCGATCTTAGGCGACTCGGATCTTCTCCGTATCGTCTATAATCTCTTCCCTTTCGTGATTTTTCTTTCAGATTCCGTGTTTCGTGTATGATTATTGATATGTATGATTTCATACAAAATGCCATCCCTGTTTTCACTCGAGAACCCAAGGGTCCCACTTCATAAGTAAGTGAAACTTGACAGCAGCAGCTGTTCAAACCTCCCTGCTATCTCTGCGATCACATTAAGCTGCGAATCTACGGAGTGGCGAAGACATATGTAACGCCGTCTAGCAGCTTTATGCCAGTAGATTCAGTGTCAAGTTGCCGGACTCCAAAAGCCATATTCTCAGCAACATACAACATAAAGAAGGGAAGCAATTCCGCACGGGCACTCACTGTCCCCATTCAACTATGCGCAAGTCCCGCAGCTGACTGCAGATCATTCATACGGCGAGTTTTTTGAGTGGAGCGTCAAGTATAAGTCATATTCTATCAGGTCATCACGGTTTATATCCTTGAAGGTGGCATGTTGGGCCTTGGCTAGGAGCATTGAGAAATAAGGAGTAATTTCAATATTGAATCCTTGTACTTGTGTATGGACTCGGGATGTAACTCCTGCCTGTCAAGACTTGTCGGGAAATTCAGGATAGGTGTTGGGCGTAATTTGCTTATTTTCTCTCTCGGAACAGATCTTGGAGATCACCCTCCCGATAGTGCCAGATAATCCAGAATACCCGTGATGGTTGTAGGATGTAGAGAGTCGAGACCGACCGCGACATAAAAAAATTCGGGTACGGGGAATCGAACCCCGAGCTGCCGCGTTGTGCTCATATGAGAGGCGGCAATGTTAGCCGTTACACCATACCCGATTATATAAACGGCCAACCATTCTCCTTAGAAATCATCTGAGTTCGCCATACAGAAATAAGTCGAGTACAAAAATGTTTCCGGTACGGGGAATCGAACCCCGAGCTGCCGCGTCCTTCTACGTTGTGAAAGGCGGCAATGTTAGCCGTTACACCATACCGGATACTGTCTTGATGACGACTTCCATGCCGATTCCAGTCATAACAATCTCTACAGTCGTGTGAAGAGAAGCAAGCCTTGGCAGGCTTCTCTTCCCTTTCCCCTTTCCCAATCATCACGGCGGTAAGGTGAGCCCGATAAACTCATCCATAGATGCCTGATACACCAACTCTTGCAGATCCAACCCCTTCCCTTACTACTACCAAAAAATATACCAGGCTACATGACCCTCACCGCACTGCCGCAGGCGCAGGATGTACGCAAAGGGGAAGTGCACTTGGCCTACGACCTACTTCTGATGGCTACTGTTCCGAGTTGGAGCTGCTTCTACCAGGGTTGACCCATGTGCACGATTGGCACCACCATTGCCAGCAACATCATGTGGTCGCAAAGTTTCTTGGTGGCTTACGTCGAAGCCGTTCACTATTACCTCAGGCGGCGTGTCACTCCTCTCCACTGAACATCCCGCTATGTTGACCAAAAACCATATGTTAGGCCAGTTGGTTTTCCTCACTTCGTTCATAACGAAGGTGTCATTCGGTGCAATTGTGGCAAGAGTGGAGGACCTTCCTAGTCTCGATTTTGACTTTGTGATTGTTGGAGGTGAGTAGAGCTCAAGTCATCGAGTGATCCCTTCCTTGCCTTTGATACCAACTCGTGGTGCAGGTGGAACTGCTGGACTTGCAGTCGCAAATCGGTTGACTGAGAATCCCAATCATTCCGTTTTGGTCTTAGAAGCCGGGGGCTCGTAAGAACACAATTCAGCCTCGTCGTGCAGGCAATCTCATGTCAGGAATTCAGCAACCTAAATGTGTTTAACTCTAAGGTTCCTTTCTTCAATGGCCGTCTTTTCAACACACCGGCCGACTGGAACTACACGACTACACCCATGGCGGGCGTCGAAAGACGGTCTGTGGGATATCCTCAAGGCCATATCCTTGGGGGTACCAGCTCCCTGAGTATGACCATACTAAAGCATCAAGCGAATATACTAATCTCTCCCTTGGTTTTACTATTTAGATGGTCTTGCGTACACGCGTGGCTCCTCAAATGACTATGATCGGTACGGTAAGTTGACCGAAGATGATGGGTGGTCCTGGAATAAACTGCAGCCATATTTCCGCAAAGTGAGCCGTACTCATGGAAGGCTCCTGAAATAGCTCGTGACATCATCAACAGAATGAAAGGTGGACCGAGCCTGCTGACCATCACAACACAACTGGTCAATTCAACCCAGCGGTGCATGGATTTCATGGCATCAACGCTGTCAGCCTTCCCGGATTCATATATTCGTTCGACCATCGCGTAATTCAAGCAACGTCGGAGCTTCCTCGCGAGTTTCCATTCAATTTGGATATGAACTCCGGAAACCAACTTGGCATAGGTTCGTGTCTTTGATTTGAGTTCGAGAATTTGACCATAAGGATGTCGTACTTAAGGATGGACGCCTTTCACAATAAAGGGCGGGGAAAGGAGCAGCTCAGCGACATCATACCTTGCTCCCGAATTTGCAAAAAGGCGTAACTTGAACGTTTTGATTAATGCTCGAGTCACCCGTGTTCTTCAAACTGGAACCCTTCATGGGGTGCCAGTGTTCAAGGGCGTGGAGTTTACAGATGATCAGGCACTTGGAGGTGACATCATGAGTACCCTTTGAAGACGTCCTTCTTGCTTATCCTTTGCAAACTAGGACCACGAAGCAAGGTTACTGCTAGAAAGGAAATTATCCTTTCCGCTGGTGTCATAGGCACTCCGCATCTTCTTCAGCACTCTGGTATCGGTGATTCCAAGCTTCTATCCAAAGTCGGAGTCAAGCCTCTTGTCCATCTTCCCTCAGTCGGACAGAACTTTACCGACCACCCATTTGTAGCAAATACGTGGCTCGTGAATTCTACTGATACCTATGAGGCCGCTCTCCGCAACGACACCCTTGCAGAGCAGCAACTTGAGCAGTGGAATGAGACACGGACAGGCCCGTATGCTGCGGCCACTTTCAGCACAGCGGCTTGGTTGCGCATACCAGACAACTCAACGATATTCCAACAATTCGAAGATCCGTCAGCTGGGCCCCATACCTCTCACTTCGAATTCATCATCGCGGTATGTAGCATCCTTGCTTTCTTTGCCAAATCTTGAAGGCTTACAATCGATTTCTTACATAGAATGGTAAGACACGCCTGCCTCTCCCTCCTACTGGAAATTTCATGGTCATTGGCACGGTGGTCGTGACACCCATTTCACGTAGGTCCCTCAGTTATATGACTCTCACCCACTTAATTTACCTATATTCAATTTTCGAAGGTGGCAGCGTTTTAATAACCTCCAATAACCCATTTGATCCCCCGGCCATAAACCCGAATCTTCTGGACTCGGATTTCGATATATTTGTCATGCGAGAAGCTATTCGCTCTGCTCGCCGGCTTGCCCAAGCCCCGGTGTTCTCCGACTATGTTCTCAGTCTCGTTGATACCGCCGTTACCGACGCGGAGCTAGACGAGTTTATCCGTGGGTCGGCGATCACCGTCTCTCACTGCGTTGGGACTGCATCAATGTCCCCGAAGGGTGCGGATTATGGCGTCCTCGACCCCGATCTTCGTGTGAAGAAGGTTGTGGGGCTGCGCGTCGTCGATTCATCAGCCATTGTGAGTGGATCTGTCTTCCTTTGCGGTGTATGAACACATGTTTATTGCTCTTGCGCGGTATAGCCTCGGGTTCCTGCGGCGCACACACAAGCCGCTACATACGTCTTTGCGGAGAGAGCATCGGATCTGATCAAGGCTGCGTGGTGAGGACGTGTATGGTGTGACGACTCGTGGTCAAGCCCAAGTAGAAATGGACCGCTCAGCTCTCTCCTGGTAATATTTTCCTCGTATAAGCGTATCTCAACATCTCCATAAATACTCAGATTATTATGTCGGACAGGTACCTGTTTGCAAATTGAGATATCTTTTGACTTATAACTCACAAGTCACGAATGTTTACTAGCTCAAGCTGTTTGGATGCAACGGAGGGGTCTGATCTGTCAAAAAACGATATGCACGACGATTTCTGTTGGTAGACTAAGGTGCAAACCGGCAGACGTTGGCCTAATCAATGGTACCTTTGTCCTACAGCAGCCTACAGTGATCGCTGCCTTCGAAATTCATAATCAATCTGAATGATAAGCATCAAAAACAGCGCTCGACAACGCAACAAGTGATTGATATTTGAAAATTGACGGGCGCCATCCATGCGGGCGCTCTTTATTCAGTCGAAAAACGGGCTGAAGACTGGGCACTGCTCTCCTTCGCACTAACGGTGAGTCGCGCTGCGATAATCTTCCTCAACTCAGACTGACTTCCTCCTCCCCACTTTCGTCCATCTGGTGACTGCCCTCAATTCCGCCGACATTGCCTTTCTCCAGCCACGACGTCGGTAGGAGTCCTGGTTCGGTTTCTCCACGTGGAAGTATTTCTACCGCGTACATCTCCGCCAGGATCGCAAGTGTAAAGCTCCCCGGTCTGCCCATTTCGGCCTTGCTTGACTATGTTCACTTCACTTACTGGACGCCAACAGTACATATTAGCATGTCCAGCGTTGCTTGTTACGGATTCAAGTGCTCCACTGTGAGCACCTGGGAACCTAGCCTACGAGGTTGCTGCGAGCCGAGTGGTCGATCCGTCAACGAGTTCGGTGAATACTTCTGCGCCGGGAACGCGCTCGGGAAGACCATCAGCTGCTTCAATCAGACCTATGGGGCTCACAAATCCCAATTCGACGTCTACTCCATGAATTGTTTCGACGGCGTAGGCAACCCAGTTGATGCCGGCGTCGTCAGTACCAATAACAGAAGCGCCTTCGGATGCTCAAAGAACTTCCTGTCTAATTGCTACGATGCAAACGGGAATAAGACAGAAGACCCGAGGAATGGAACATGCGACACTGGTTCAAACAGTCCTTCAGGAGCACCGCCAGGGCCTAGTCACAGGTGGGCTGCAATGTTTGCCGCCGCGTTGGTAATCTCCAGTTTCGTCGCGATGGCATGAGGCGCTGGGTAGGTGTCAGCAAGCGGGAAAGTGACGATTATTCCTGATTATTCAGGTTTGGATAGGAAAACTACTAGCTAGCGATTAGCACATATACATTGCATCCATTGATATTCCCATACCTCGCAATGATGCCTATTTTCGGAAGTGGATTACAGCGAACGGAGAAGTTGCCCACAATGAAATTGATACCACACATATCAGGAGTTGTGAGAATGCCTCATGGTTTCCTTCCTTGTGGTCCGGGCAATCATGACGGTGTTTGCAGAAGGGTGAAGCTATAGACAACGTTTAAGGGGCACTTAGATTATTGGTAGTTAACAGACCGCCTCTCCGGACCAGATCACTTCCCTGGATCACTGTACAGCTTCTAGGAATAGTTCCCCAGTTTGTAGATCAGTGACTTGAAAACATGTGTCTGCCTCATGTGTAGCGGCAGCTGCGACCCATCACGGAATTGTTCGACAGAACGGTCTACAATGGTGCCTGCAATACTAGTCTTAATTTTCATCTCTCTGACCTCGGTTCTGGATTACCATTCTTTGTGATGAAGCAAGTCTGGTCAAGAGCACGATGATGCGGGGTATGACAGGCCGTCAAAGGTTCCGAAGAACCTCTGAAATTTGGGGTGCAATCACCTGGAGGCCGTTCGAAGCGGCTTCGTTGGTTGAAAAGCACTGAGAATATCCTCCACCACGAGTGACTTACGTATCACGTCTGGTAGAAATGTGAAAGATCGGTCGTAAGTCACAGGGCGTCAACGAAGGAGGACCTATGTAGCCATCCTCTAGAGGACGGCCACTCGCTTGATGTCACTC